ATTATAACAGATGTCTAATAGCCATAACACAAGCTCTGCTTACTGTGTACTGGATTAGGCAGCGCTGGTGTTAATTGTCCAGGGTTATTTATTTATTTTATACTAAATATATTTATACTCCAGTCGCAATAATTAATAATCGTTGTGTCATCATATGTCATTAGTAATATAATTTATACTAATATTTTATGTAACTGGGATGGCAACATACCAAAGAATTCGGCCTACTTGATGGTAAGTAAATAATAAATATTACGACTATATGAATATCACTAAATTGTATAACATACTAATGTTTACTACTGTAAGAAGTTGCAACAGACTTCTAGAGTCCATTTACGACTCTACTTAATTGAATGGTCTTTAATGTCATAATTAAAATATCACTATGTTATACTTATTACATATGCAATAAATGAATAAGAAAAAAACTAAGTATTGTATTACTTAATCACATTTAAGTGGTAGAATGATTTGAATAAAAATTGGTACTTACAAAATTAGTATAGCATATTAAATAGAACATTTTTATCATAATTCTCAGTTATATAAATAGATGACTGTAAAGAATATACATTTTTTTGTGTAATTTGGTAAGAAGCTGATGGACCATCTAATGGTAATGGTAACTGTTGCGATTATACATAAACTATGGAAATCACGTTAGTATGTGATGCCCGTGATACCACTCATATGTTGCTATCCTGGAGGACTAAGATGCCATGCCTATTATCCTGTAATTTCCTGCTTATCTCACCCGAAACACAGGGACTTAGCAATCGAAATAGATAATAGTAGTACTTAACAGAGAAGATTTATTTACAAAATCTACCTGGGAAGAATTGAGAGAGAAAAAAGAGGAGACAAAAAAATATTCAAAAAAGGACCTAACCTAACAATTTTTTGTGTAGTATGTTATCTGTGGTAGAATATTTAAAATTAAGAAATTACATAAATTTAACGCGTAATCAACATAAATAATATTTCAAAAATAGAACGTGTTATTATTTTAAATTCTGTTGAAAATTATAAATACATTGGTAGATACTATATTTTTAGAAGCTTTTAGAATATGATGGATTTACATTGTAAGCAATTAAAACATCGTTTCATTCTGCTAAAACGCTTGTAAAAAGTCTGAAGGGGCGGCCATGTGATAACATCGGTCTGTTTGTAATTACAACAGAGTGGTGTGTGAGAACAGACCATCAACTTTGCCTATCAAACTTACTAATCGTTTGATTACATTTGTTCCGTTTCTCGTTTCGCTTATGCTTTTGTGCTAATAAAGTCGGAGGTCGTATACGAGTATGATGATTATGACGATGATTGGAATACCTGTAGTTGACCATACAAGATCTATAAATATTTTTACAGGCGGTCAGGTTCAAAATGGTATTACATTAGACATTTATAAAAAAATATTTTATGTCTTTAAAATTTTTTTGTGGTATTTAGATGTATCTTTTATATACAAAAGACTGGCCACAATTAAATTAAATTTGGTACACATGTTTACATTTAATCTCTGTTTGCCCCATGGTTGAATCAGAGAAAATCCCTTAAGAGGCCTTTCACATTTTTTGGCCTAAAAGCAGTGTCTTTGGGGTTTTAAGAGTCGGATATACATTTTTATTCCTGAATTATATAGATAGATATCTAATCTTAAAAAACATCTTTGAAATGTTAAAATTTCTAAAATAGTTTATTCAAAAACTAAATGACAGAAGTTCATTAATAAACAAACATAAATTGATATGATATCTTTACTAAAACTTGATAATTACTTTATACATTGAGACAGCATCGTCCTTTTTTTCATTTTCAACTTAAATATCTAAAAAATTGATCATAATTAAACCCGAAATTTCAACAAAACTTTGCCATAATCATTTCTAATTTTCTCATAAATACAACGAAATTTTTGCATAAAAAAAACATAATAATAGTTAATATACTTATAAATTAGAAATATGAAAAAAAAATATAAGTTTCTAAGAAAAAAATAAACAATAATAATAATTTATAAATTCCGTTGCGCCAAAAGTAAATTCTCAGTGCTGCGCTTCGTCGAGGTAGGAATAAGATAGACATTGGTCAGTGAACATTAGTATAGAGCGACTAAACAATTTTGATAATTTAAGTAATATTTAATTAATTTTGCTAATATATACTTATTTCTACGAATATTAATTTAAAGTTGTTGTTAAATATATATATATATAATATTTATTTTAGCATGCCAAGACAAAAGTACAGTTATGCTACAAATAAAACCTACCTACCCTGCTGGACTATGAAAAGCAGAAGAGCATGGTATTTCGTCACACTAATGGCAATTAATTGTTAAAATTAAAAAAGAGAACATTTTAGTATTTTTTAAAATAACGCTTATCTGAGAGAAAAATGTAAGAAAATGTAAACCAATTTTACTCTATGTTTATTTTGTAGTTTTTTTTCTAAATTAAAATAGGGTTATTGTTTATAAAAATACCATTATTATTTTTACGTACATTTGTCTTGTATTATATAGTGTATATCATCTAGTATGCAATGTGGATTGTAAATAAATTACCAAATTATATATAAATTATATTCCTTAATGTTTAGAGATATTTTATCCAATTTTATTTTATTTTTACAGATATTTCTAAATTGCAGCTATTCTGATATTATACTCGTTGGACTTTCATTACTGTACAGTTATGTCAAATAATTATGCGTGTTTGGGTGAAAAGTCAACAACATTATAAATGTTTTTATTTAGAGACTAGCTTTTAGCTCGCGGCTTCGCCCGCGTGAATATGGGATATATAGGTTATCGCGCGTTTAACGATCCGTGTACAGTATTGGGACGTTATATATAAACCTTCCTCTTGAGTCTATCTATTCTGTCTATTAAATAACAACGAATCAAAATCTGCGTAGTTTTTTAAGATCAAAACATACACAGATCTATTACATGTGTAGATGATATTTTAACCGGAAATTGAAGCCGTTAAAATGGTATTGGCAGATCCGTTGGAATCATCGGTATTCTTGGTATATATTTTTATCGGTTATAATGGTCTACAATTAAATTGTCTTTCAATTCTTTAGTAAGCAATATATCCAAAATTGCACATGTTATTACATGGATCATGCTTTTGAGAAATTCCTTCCTCAAGTTTGAGCATTTAGTGTTATATCTGTGCTTCCATAAAAATGATCAAATTTGTCAGTAGTTTTAAACTTTCAATTAAAGTCCATAAGGGAGACGATGTTAATGACACAGAGAGTCTTTCAGAAATCTCCAGCAAAAGTATAAAAGTAATCCCGCCAATGAGAGCAGAGGTGTTTCTAAGGTCTTTTAAGGTTCTGTCCAAAATCTCTATAGCTCATGGTGATTTCATTACATATAATCAATGAGGCGTCTTATAATAATTTATAAAAAGGTTTGACATTAACAATTAATTATTTATCAAGAATCAAGAATCGGCCAACCAAGACCGAGAAGCTGCAATATCAGCCAATATCATGCGGCGACGTCAATGATGCAGGAACAGCAATGATAGCAGTTGAAGCTTTTTTTTTACAACTTAGAATGGCAAACAAGCTGACGGCTCTCCTGATGGAAAGGGGTAACCGTCGCCTATATACATGAGCAGTACCTGACATGTTCATATCAGCACATTGTTTTCATGCGTTGCCATTTGAAAACTCTGTTTTCCCCTGTACCTTGTAAATTCACTACCATATATATACACAGGTAGTCTATATAGATAGATATACATATACACAGATAGTATACCCTGAGAAAGGTCATAGACTACTTTATAGTGCGAAAAAAGTATTGTAAGGGATTAAAAGCGGAGATGAAAGGTTGTATAAAAGTATCGTCATTGTTTAAGTGAAACAAAGAAACTTTTTTAGGTTATAATCTAAATATATTTCCTTTATTTGGTCAATTTCATTATACCACGCTGACGAAGTCGCGGACACACCTAATATACATATAAGGATGGGACCTTTAAATCAAAACAAAGCCTTGAAAACACAACTATTATATATAAATATTTTATTTTAAGTATAATATTTAGAACAAGTGAATATGGCAATAATGTATCCGACTCTTATAATAAATTATATTGTATCTATTAATAAATAAACTGAATTAATACGTAAGAAGAATTAATTAGTAAATTTATGTTATAGTAATTTCGTCTTCCTGTCCCAATTATTTGTTACTCATATTACTTAAAGTTGTACAATCGGCCAGCATGACATCAACCCTCTAGGAATAATATAATAAAAAAATATGGTCATTATTAGCACTTTGATAATTAAGATAAATCACGTTATTTAAAAAAATACAATAAGTAGTTTATGTTACTTAGTTAAGTAGAAACATATCACATTATTAATTAAAATATTACAAGGATCAAAATGGTTCATACTAAATCCACACCGATTGAGCTACACTATCTGTGTGCGTGTATTACTGTATGTGTTAAATCCATGCGATTATACCTAAAGTTGAGCGGCATCATTTTTTTCCTTAATACGTTAAGACCGTCATATGCACCTTTATTTTTGCATTAAAGCATAATTAAATATATATTTTTATATTATTGCAAGTAGACCATGATAACATCATTGTATAATTATATAAATTGAAATATTAAATTTCATTTGTGTTAAAATTAGATCATACTAATTTGACAACTGAAATCAGTTATTTTGTGAAATGAAGTCTTAATTTTTGTGCGTCTATAATAACCTGAATTCTATTTTAACGATTTTAGTAATTTTTTCATAAATAATAGTAATGATACTACCACAGCTTATAAAAAAATTAAGACTTCTTTTCACAAAACAACTGATTTTAGTCACAATCGCTAATTATTAAGAATTCGAGAAAGTTAGATCGCCTGACATGCACATATGGAAAATATAGTAGTAATGAGAATAGCCTCTTTTTTGTAATCGGTTGAAAACATATTATTAGAATGGAAACTCACCGATAAAGTTCGTCCAGTGTCGTCCTGACATTTTGTACTTGGGCTGCTCTGGTAAACACTGTAACAAGAGGGTTGAACCAATAATGAAATTGCTGCTAAATTGGACTATATATTGTATTGATCCACACCCAAAACAATAAAAAACAAATTCTATAGTTAAAGTGCATAAAAATAAAATAAATAAATAACTGTGGACGTATTACACAGACCCATCTAATCCTCTAATCGGCTTTCCGTAACTCCTGGGGTTAGACAGCTGTGACATGTTTTTTTATAAAACTGGAAGGTAAACAAGCTGTCGGGTTACATTATGGTTAACCGTTATTTATATAATGGACAGTATCATGGGTACTGGTCATGTACAGATTTTTTTATATTATTTTTATTTCGTGGAAATAGGAAGCTGCTTGGTGGTTGAACTGCCTAATAATTCCTAAAGACCCACGATGTCGACTTATTAAAATAAAATGCAATTTGTTATTCAGAAATAACTAATATAAACCCTGGACAATTAACACAGCACCATCTAGTCCCACTGTAACAGTTTGTGTTATGGGTATTACACAACTCATATAAATACTTAGTTTTTTTTTTAATACATAAAAAATACCCAGACCGTCATACACATGAATAAAAATGTTTGCACTGTGCAAGGAATCGAACCCGTGACCATCAGATGCAAAGCAGTGTGCTAAACCGTTAGACCACTGAGACCGTCGATGATAATGCACAGTTCTACATATGAAAAACATACAGTTCTACATATTTAAATCGGATAAATATTTTTGAATTTATCACATACAAAATAAAATCTTTACCTCTTCATACTTATATATATTAGTTTCGAAGTCGAGGTTTTACCTGAGCGTTTTATTTTTATAATATCAATTTGCAACTTATGATAAAAAAGAGGTGCTTCAGGTCGGGTTACGATCATTTATTTTTGTATCCGTGATCAGAGTATTAGACTGTTCTTTTATTAGTGCACCACTTTATGTCGCTTGTTGTTTATTTTTTACGTAGTAAAAAAGGAATTACATTACTATTCAATTCTATAAAGAGTACGTTCTCATTTGCAGTGTCTATTTCAACGGACAATTATTAATTAAAAATCATTGGATCTGGTAGTGAGATTACCCGTGATCATGGCGGTTGAAACACTGCCGAAATATAGGGAACACAATAAAAATAAAACGTAATAAGACCCCTGGAATTTTTACTTATTAGATGTATAAATAATGACCGAGTCGAATTTAAAATAGTATAGGAAAATTCCTTGGTACTATTTCAATACATTATATTGTATTTGATATTTAGGAAGACCAAGGTGTCATGCTTACGGTGTAATTTTACTACCATCTCTTACGTTTCTAATCTGAACACAACCGGTCATCTGGTTACAAATGAAGCTACGGAGGTGGAATAAATGGTAACGCAAAAGATTTTATACAAAGTCTAAATACGTATAATAACTCAGGACAATTCACACAACGCCGTCTTGCCCTAAGCTAAACATACCTTGTTGGATACTAGGCATTTGAGAGAAATACTTAATTTTTTGTAAATACATACATAATATACATAGAAATCACCCAGAACAGTACTAATAATCAAACTCATGAATACAAATGTTTGTACCGAGCGAGTACAATGTTATAATATAGTTTTGTAAATTTTAAAAGTACCTATAAGTTTTAATAAGTTTACAAAGTCTTGCCTCAATTTATAACATACTGATAGTATAATTATAGACCTGGCTGTTTACTCTCATAAATTACACATGTAACGAGCTTGACATCAATATAACCCGTCAACATCATCGTTTAAATATTACGCTATTTACTTTATAAAGTAGGTATATTGTTCATCCCAATATTAAAGCCAATTTATGACTATAATTAAATTTTAGGTACAATATACTTAATTATGATCGAGCTCGTTATGAAACAAAGGCAGTTGAACGATCTTTCACAGAAATATAAAGTTATATTTAAGACGAGCTGTGCGCGGTTTCACCTGTATGAAATTTTAAGTTTATGTGTTATTCCGATGTAATAATAATAATAATAATAGTAATATGTTGCCATGTCCTCTCCTTAAGAGAGGAGATGAGAATTTTTGAAATAAATTTTTTTTTTATATAAATTTGTGCAGTAGTTTTTGCGTGAAAGAGTAACAAATATCCATCCATAATCATAAACTTTCTCGTTTATAATATAAGTAAGATATTTTATGCGAATTATTTATTTCTGCCGCCAAGCAGCTTGATTAGAGGATTAAAGGATGAGATATGGCAGGCTACGACCCTTACGTTTCTTAACGATTAAAGTCATGTTTTTGTGGTAACTACCAAACGAACGATATGTTTATGTATCTTCTTTTTAAAATGTTACAATTTATGTATAGTAATAATAACTTCTCAGGTGTCCACAAGCTACGGTAACCGTTTATCATCACATGGGACGTATATGTACTTGTTGTCAAAATATAACCTAATCGGTCATTTATAAAGTGCATAATTTTTTGCCAAGGAAAGATCTCCTGTTCTCACACATGTTAATGGTAGTGGAACTGAACAAAATAATATAAATCCATTAGGTACAGTAGTAGTAACAAACCTACTAGTACTTTGCCACTGACTGCATCTATTGTTACTAATAAGTTTTGCAACAAAACGCGCATACATTGAATGATTTCATTCATTAATATTCAATTTTCATTTATGTTCAAGTATGTATACTGGACATTGTTGCGTGGAGTACTTACTCGTAAATTATCATTGCCTATGAGCCAACGCATCATCATTAATCAAAGTCTATTGCAAAACTACAAGGCACTGATTACCGAATACTATGCTGTGAATAATTATTATAAATATCAATTGTATAATTATTAAAATATTTTATGACTGTTATCCCGTATTAAGATTATTCCGTCTTAGGCATTATCGACTATCGACGTGGTAAACACAAAACTTGATATGAAATTTCGCTGGTAGATACTCTTGTTGGAATGATGAACATTCTCGGCAATATTTATTTATTTAACTTTATTAACCAAATAAAACATGTTACAAAAGGTAAACTTAGTCCTAGATGCATTCCCTACCAGCCAACCTTGTATGGCAATTTCGTATAGTGGATTACAAAAGTGCCCAAAGAAATCCTTCTATCATATACGTAGTTGTAACTTTTGAAGTATTGTGGTATATGCTGGGCGCCAGTCTCAGAATACGCATTAAGACAGGTCAGTTCACCATAAACAATTGACCATGGTGGTTTTCTATTTGAGGATTATATCTATCTCTAAATACATAGGATATAAATACATTACTGAAATACGTTGTAATAAAATTTTACAACTCAATATTGCTAGAGATATGCAAGGAACATGTGTGATGCAGATTGCAACAGATAGTCAGAGGTGATGTTTAAATCGCGGCTTCCTCGGAAAAAATGGTGGCTGTCGTAAGATTGGATGGTGAAAGTCTATACTTTCATCATCTATTACATCTATACTTGCAATTAGTGCTTATGGGATATAAAATGTAAAGGCAAACAAGCAGACGGCCAACCTGATGGTAAGCAGGAGCCGTCACCTACTTCTATGAACATCACGTTATCATATGCTCCCTCAGATTGATCCTCTGTCCAATTCAAACGGGGATCGAAATTACGACGCTCTGAGCCGAAGTTCGAACTCCTAGCGGTGCCCACAGACTAAAGTCGTATCCGTCAGGCGAGCGTAAGACTTCAGTCGCTCTATAAGTCCTTCTGCGGGTTTGGAGTGCCATCTGCACTCGCCCTCTAAGCTGTAAAGGCCAGCTACGGTCAACAGCATTAGAATAATCCGAAAAAAAAGTATTATATCACATACGTGATACTACTCATGCGTTGCAATTCCAGAGAACTAAAATGTCATGACTATTAATCTGTAATTTAATGTCTAATAGCACTACAATGTAAGCATTTCTTTTATAAAATTGTTATATGGCGGTTGAAATAGGTTAGACTGCGTTGCACAGGTGAATTTTTACAGTCTACCTCTGGGGAGTTGAATACAGTGTTGCCAGAGCTTAGCATTTTGATGATGATACTGAGGTTCTGTAAGAGCATTAGACTGTTCGGTAAGATTATAAAAAGAATTATGGATAAGATCAGACCCATGTTTTTCAGTACATACATGCTTATTTTGTATATTAACATAGTTGAGTACGTACGTACGCAGTATATTCGAGTATAATTGAAACTTTTATGATAACATATAAATATCGCATTATCTAATATCTTTAACGAATTCACTGTACCATAAATGTGCTAGATATATTGAAAGGTCACAAGACTCACAAGGTATATATAATACAAAGTTATATATATACCTTGTGAGTCTAATACAAAAGCATAAATATCTCTGTTTCACCTATTTTAGGCGCCGTGCAGCATCATTATAAACGTGAAGGTTTGTGAGTACGAATGGATGGATATTTGTTACTCTTTCACGCAAAAACTATTGAATGGATTTTGATGATGAATGAAACATTTATATTCGTGAGTATGATTGTCATCGTTATATCATTACATGGTATAAAACAAAGTCGCTATCGCTGTCTGTCCGTCTCTATGTATGCTTAAATCTTTAAAACTAAGCTACGGATTTTGAAGCGGTTTTTTAATAAATAGAGTGGTTCAAGAGGATGGTTTATATGTATATTACATGTACACCCGGGCGAAGCCGGGGCGAGTAGCTAGTATAGTATATAAAACGATGAATATGATGGTATTGATCATCTAAGTAAATATTGCACAAAAAAGACGAAAGAAAAGAAAAATAATTTTATTGTCAACTAATATACAGGGAATTCATCCCCATACGCTGGAACCTAAGTGGTCTCGGACAGTGCGGTTTCAGAGGAGCTTCCGTGTACACTTAGATCGTGGAATGAACTACCTGTAGAGGTTTTCTCGAGAGACTACGGTATGGGGGTTTTCAAGAAGGGTATATTAAGGTTTCTTAAGGGTCGACAACGCGCATGTGACACCCCTGATATTTCAGGTATCC